GGATGGCTTCACACGACAGGGAAGTCGTTACTCTGAGCAGCTAGAGCTCCAGCAAGCCCTCTATTAAACAGGGATTTGTCTCTAGGAAGATAAGCTCTGACATCTCTCCATCATGGTTACAGAGATCTGTTTAAAGCACTTTTTCACAGGACAGACACTCTTTCAAATATTAAATACAGGTCTTCATATTTTACATCCTTATCTCACCTCCTCCTTGCCCTGTTGCCCCAATTTCTTCCTCTCATCCAGAGTAGACACCTTCTCTAGTCCCTTTAGCTACCTGACACATCAGGCCACCTCTTAGTATCCTTGACTGATTATCTGTATCCCCATAAGCATGACACTCAGCAAAATGACCAAGAAAGTCCAGTGTGCACTATTTTTTAAGATAGATTTACCATTAAAGGACTTTATCTTAAAAAGAACATGTAATATAATTAAAAGATACACATTTTAAAGCATATTTTCATTAAAGATTAATAAAAGATGAAAGCCTAACTTTTAAAGATTATTTTAAAGAACTTTAAACACAACAAATAATACTACAAAAAATTCATTTTCATTCACAATCAGCCTTTGCTAACCTTAAGCTAGACTTAAAAAAAAAAAAAAAATGAAGTGACTCACCTAAATGAAAAAGCAATATAATCCAGACAGGAATTGAAACTGCTCTCAAGTAGCGTTCAGTGCTTGAATTCCACTTCAATGAAACAGTCAACACATAGCCAACTACCAAGGTCCAGATCTTAAATAAATGAAATATAGACACAGCTGTAAAATAGACATGTGAAAATGAACATAGAATTTATAAAACATTTGCAAGAACTTGTATCCCATGAGTGCTCTGGACACAGCATAGAGAAGGTTGGTGGAGCTAACTAGGTCCTCCTCCTCTGTTTAGAGAAACTGTTTTGAAACAAACAGGCATTTGAAATTTCATGTAGCGATATTTAAGGATTTGACAACTATATAACATTTTAAGACACTAAAGTTCAAAACCCATTCTATGCGTAAAATACTCTAAATATTCTATTTAAAGCCCAATCTTGTTGAATTTCTATCAATTAATGTTTATAAAAGCAAAAGGGGAAAAAAAAACCTTTTTAAAAGGATCAGACTAAAAAAAGTCTATTTCAGTCTTGTTGTTTATGTTTTATGCTTGTTTTCTATGTTTTTTTGTTTGTTTTTTGGTACTGGGGATTGAATCCAGGGCCTTTGCATTGAGCTACATCCTCAACCCTTTTAAAAATTATTTTTCATTTGAGACAGAATCTCAGCAAGTTGCTAAATAGCCCAGGAGAGACTAAAACAAGATCGTCCTGCCTCAGCTTCCCAGAGGCCTGGAATTAGAGACATGAGCCACCATATTCAGCTAAAATATGCTTGTTACTGTAAAAGAAAAAAAAATAAAGCTAGAGAGAAAGTAGTTACTGAAGTGTGCCCTTTTTGCAATTATCTAGGTAACAACAGGGTAAGACCCTAACCCAGAGTTAAAGACTCCAGCTGAAGGAGTGTGCCAGAAGAAAAGTTACTACAGGAAGAAATAACAAAACATGACAATAGAAGACCCAGCCAGCCTTTCCTTAATTCTCCCTCCCTATACTAAAGTTAAATAGGTAGCACTTAAGAAACATCACAAGAAAGCAGTGCAATCTACACAGAAAGTCATATTCTAACAGAATTATTTACAAAAGGTGGAATATCTAATCCAGAACAAATCCAAGCACCAATCAAGAATTTAGTAAGAATGTAAAATTCAAGTTTGACATGAACTTTGACGAGGGGGGGGGGCAAATTAAGACAAGAAAAGAACTTTAAGATATATTTTAGAGGGCTGGGGATTTAGCTCAGCGGTTCGGCGGCCTGCCTTGCAAGCGCAAGGACCCGAGTTCAATCCCCGGTACCAAAAAATAAAAATAAAAATAAAAAAATAAAAAGATATACTTTAGAGCATGAAGAAAAAAACTAATAGTATTACTACAAAAGACAAGGAAAAAAATCCTGCTACATTATTGTGGTCACACTTATCAATAAAAATAATCTCTGGGTTTTAAAAATGTTTATAGTTTCTGACTGGAGAATTCAGCTTTGGAATTTATTCTTACAGAACAATGACAGCTTCTAAGAATGCTTTCAGTATAAAGAACTTCGTCAGAATGTGATTTAGAACAGTGAAAACACCTAAAAGGTTGATGGCTGGGAAATGAATAACTATGGCTAATTCATGCAGTAAAATTTTCACAACCATTAAAATTGTTTTTTTAAAAAAGACTACATAGCTTTGAAATTCCTAATATGGTAAAAGTAAAATATAAAAAAATGACACTTTCATATCAAAATGTGAGAATATTAAAATATTTTTCTTCAACTATTAGACAAAATATTAAAGAGCTCTGAAGCCCAAAAATTAATGAGGACAAGGAAAGTGGGATGACAGCCACTTCAAAATAGTTCAGGCTTGCAGAATCAGACAAATTAGCCCTGGAATTCCAAAGGATTTGAGATCTGAGTGTAAAACTCAACAATGATTTGAACACAATAACAGAACACTCATGTAACATCATGTATCGGGCTGTTGTAATACTTTAATTACAGGGTCTAATTTAATCCTCATAACCTCAAAAATTAGTGCTATTGTTCCCAATTCACAGATGAAAAAAATCAAAACTTCAGGGAAATCATCTGCCCAACATCAAAGCTAGCTAGGTAAATGATAAGACTGAATTAAATCTAGGAATCTGGGCCCAACATCTGCTTTCCCAACCATAGAATAAAGACATGTGGGGCTAGAAAAATAGAACCAAAAGCTGCCTCAAATTCCACAAGGAAAGATACCAGTCAGTTTAGAAAACTACAAATGCTTGAAATAAAAAATGATGCTCCATGAATGGATACTCTGCAACCTAATGCCACACAGGGAAGATAAACACTCTCTTAAACACTAAGTAACTTAGATGGAAGACTAGAAGGCATGCTAATCAAACTCACACAGATTACACAACACTGGGAGTAGTCAAGAAAAATTTTGTGACCTGTGATTCACAAAGACATCCTGAAGCTAGAACAATGGCTAATTCAAATAAGATTAATGAAGAGAAACACAAAGTTATGCATTTAGATTAATTCCACTATGCAAGCAGGGACTGGAGGAGGACTTCTAAGCTTCTCAGTTCAGTATGTATCAGAGTATGACAGGCCTAGGTACGATGTACAATACTCCTATCACGTAAAGAGATGACTTCAATGAAGCCTGCACAACCAAACTACATGAGCAATAAAATCCAAGCTGGGAAATGGAAATCATAATACATGATAAAGACATAGCAGGGTCGGGGACACTGTTTAGCATGGAAGAGAAGGGAAAATCAAGATTTCATAAGTATTTTCACATGGTTGGCAAAAATGTCACCTAGAAGAGGACTGAAACTTAAGTTTTGTGATTCTGACACAGAAATAACAGGTGGGAATTAAGAACAATACATTCCAGCTTAATATTCACTAATAAACAATAGCTGTCTAAAAATAGAATACACTTTGCTAACAAATAATAGCTATCTAAAAATAGAATAAACTAAATCACTAAAGGTATCTGAACAACTGCTGACCACAATTTAGGGATGACAGAGTAGGAAAGTCTGCCTTCAGCATAAAGATGAACTAGAAAACATATATAGCCTTCAGAGTTTAAAACTATGATTCTTTTAAACCCATCTCCAGAGGGTTTTTTCTTTCCTTTTTATTTTGTTTTGCCTTATCTATACTTAACCAGGAATTAGTACCACTTGCAGACAGAGGCAAATAAGAGACTGCATACTTGAGATTCTTTAAACTGATAGCCCAAAGAGAACCATGCATTTTTATCTAGTAAATTTGAAACTCGCAGACTACCTGATCTTAGTTTAAAATAAGTAATCATTAAATACATTCTCCAATTCTATCCTCAGGAATGTTTACCCATGAAGCATGGATCGAAATTAAAATATTCACTAACAGCTCACAATATAAAACGACCTAAATGTCATTTAATAGGGTACTGTTTAAACAATGGTATCACCAAAAACGGATACTTACACTTTCAAAAGTGTAATGAATATCTAGGTTGAAAAACACAGTGTAAAGTTATGCTTGTATAAGTTTATAATAGTGAAAATACACTCCACAAAAAATGCTAAATAATCATCTCTGGGTAGTTGTATTTCAAGGGGTAATTTGCTTCTTTATGCTTTTTTTTTTATAAGTACTGAATTTACTCTTAATGGAATATAATATCCTTATAAAGAGAAAAAATATTTCCAACTTTTTAAAAATTGGCTTATGGGTTTTAAAAAATAGTTGAATATTTTCTATGAATCAGAGACGATTCACAGAAGAAATATTAGTTCAAGGATATACCTATTTTTAAAAACCCTTACGAGTTTATACTGAACAATTAGCAATGGTTAAAAATGTTTATGAGTACTTTAATATAAATCAAAGTAAGAAAATGTGTCAGAAACATTTTCTACCCTGGCATGGCGGTGCATACCTATAATTCCAGCCCTCAAGAGGCTGAGGAAGGACAACTGCTGCCAAGTTCAAGGGTAGCCTAGGCTACATAGGAATACTCTATCTCAAAAAAGTCAAATGAAATACTTTCTAAAAGATATCCAAAAAAAAGTATTTATATGACAGCAGTATTAAAAAGTATTATCTATAAGCACTAATTAGAAAAGAAGTCCATAATACAAGGATAAATGAAAGAGCAAGGTGCAGAATTATATGCATGATATCCCATTTTTGTTTAAAAATATAGAAACTCTGTTCACATAAGCACAGAAACAAGCTTAAGAGGCTAGACATCAGTTAACAATAGTAACATCTGCACAGCAGGAATGGTGGCAGGGAACGATTTCTTTACCACACAAACTTCCATGCTGCTCAAATTCTCTTTTGTAAAACAACCATGTTTTACTTCAGTCAGCTTTTGAAATCACAAACAGTCCTTAAAATAACAAGAAAAATAAATATTTGTATATTCACATCTCATGCACAGTTTTTTTCTTTTTGTTTTATAGTGCTAGGTATCAAACCCAGGGCCTCACGTGTCAGGTAAGTGATCTACCCATGAGCTACAACCCCAGCCCCAAAACACAATTTCTAGTCTCAAATCCCTCCAGAGTTTCTTATTCTTAGTCCTTCATTAACACAGAAGACTGGAGCTAATAAGTCAACTTTATATAGAGTCCAGCAAAAAAATGTATACACACTTCAGGAAAAGAAAAATAGCATGACGTTTTTTTCAACAGATGGCATTAGCCTAATATGGGGCACCTTAGAGGATGTTGAACATCACAGAAAACCTACTATACTGCTGTCCCTTAGGAAAGAAAATGAAAATGCACATGCAGCAATCCCAACAACCAAGCTTACCCAAGCAACAGTTTACTGTACTAATAAATGTCTGGAAGCTAATGTCATCACTTTGAGCATCTCTCATAATTCTAGAGACCAAAGGTAACTTGTATCAATATCATGACATCTCAATACACCTAATATTAAAATATTTACACATAATTCTTCTTTTCCGATAGTGCGTATACATTTTGGGGGGGGACTCTACATATATATGTTCAGTCTCTGAGCAAACCCATTCGTGTGTGAATTTTCTTCCAAGCATAAACCAAGCATAAAGCCACAGTTAGATAACAGGTCATACTTTCCCAAATTCATTCATTTCATTTATTTATTTATTTTCTGGTACCAGGGATTAAACTCAGGACCTTGAACTGGCAGGGGCTGGCACCAGCATCACTGAGCTAAATCCCACCCCTGTAAATTTATTTTCTTCAATAGAATGGGTTCTTTTCAAAATATATAATCCATGGTCATTTTACAGCACCAATGTGCTAAACACTATAATTAAAGACGACACAGAATTTGACATATCAGTGCATAAAACAGAAACTCTGCCTTTTTAGACTATTATGTTATTTATTGTTATTGGGCATAAACTGGGAAAATTTGCATATGTTTGCAGAACACTTTCCCAAGTCTTTTCCAGAGAGAATAAAACAACAGATTTCCTTCAAGTTATGGAGGCACAGCCCTAAATCACTAGACAACTGTTTCAAGTAGTTTACTCTCCTTTAAAGCAGCTTAACTTTAATCTGAAAAATATTCTTTTTCGTCACATGGCAATTTAAGAGTCAAGAATTTTACAATCAAAATCTTTAATTGTGAAAGGCACTAATCTCTGGAAACTTCTCACCGTTGCCAGGTAAGCAGAAGCAAACCTAAAAAGGGTTTAGAAGTGGCCTGCAGTAGATCCAAAAGGCTGGCTAATGTGCATTTCCTAAGGACCTCTTGTGATCTTGTAAGACAGAACATCAAAGAAACTTATACAATGTCCCACCAACCCCTCACTTTACACAACTGGGGTTTAGTGGCTCAGCGAAGGACTTCGGTCTGTCCCAGGTCACAAGGCAAGTTACTAACAAGTTTGTAACTTAGTTTTCTGATCTTTCAGCCACTCTTCTCCCTCATGCCTCCTTATAAAGATGGAAATAATGAGATCAGAGACCACAGAGAAAACAAACCTATTACTATTGTTGAAAGTGTTCATGGTTTTCAATTTTTTCTAAAAACTCTAGATAAAAGAGGAGAAGAGATCAGAACACTCTCAGCAGAAGAAAATGGTAGAATCAGATTTACCTTGCCTGACTCTACAACATAAAGAGAGGCCAAGGGCTGAATCACATGGAGAGATGACTTTTTTAAAACACAACACACGATTTTCCAAAGAAATCCTAACTTAGGACAACATTCCAATATATTTGAAGTTGCTGAAAAAGAATTACTGGTACCATAAAGGATTAGTCTTTCATTCATAAGTAGGATGGAGTGTTAGGAGGAAAGTGGAGTCAAGGAAAAAAGCTGAAGTAATCCAAGGAGAAGTGAAGAGAAACACAGCTGCAAGGATAAACCACTGGCAAAAGGAAATACAGCTACTGTGGACACTACACAGGAAAAGTGGAGAGGACCTGAAAAAGCTCTACAGATACAAGGATAAAAAGAGAGATGGCTTCATTTCTAGATAATTAGAATCCCAAGGCCTTTGAGGGAACAGCTAAGTTAGTACAATCCCAATATTTGTCCTGATAACTAAAATCAGCTTATATTTTAAAAACTAAAAACCTTAAACACAATGTACTGGGGGGAAACTTTTTAAAATCCTTATGAAGATGATCCAGTGACTGACATTTACTAATAGCATGAAAGATCCAACTCTAACTTAGTTTTCTAATATTAAAATCCCTCCCTCCTAGCTGACAAGATTTTTTTGGTGTTGGTTTTTTTTTTTTTTTCTTTTTTCTTTTTTGAGAGAGAGTCTCACTATGTAGCTGAAGATGATTTTTGAACTCTCAATGTAGACCTGGCTGGCCTCAAAATCACAATCCTCCTGTCTCAGCCTTTCTGCATGCCAGGCTTATAGGTGTGGGCTACCGTGCCAGGCTCAAAGGACTGTTCTGAGAAATAAATTACACCCACAGAAAGAACATTAACACATGGCAAGTGTTCAAAAGTTGGATCTTAAATATATCAATCGCCTGCTCAGCAAAATGTCCATATGCTTAAATTTAACTTTTCTCTGTCTTTCTCATCTGACTTCCTTTAGCAGCTGGCTCACATGTACAAGCTGTCCAGAAAGCATAAAGACCACTGCTCTCTAACAGGCAGCCCTGTTTGGTTTCACAATCAATAAAGTGAATCACTAGCTGTGTGACAGATTCTTGGGAGAATGCAGCTCCTATCTGGTAATTAATATTTATCTTTCTATCTAGCGGCTCCATTAAACTATGCTCATATATGGGTTTGGAGGTGTAACTCAGTAGTAGAGCACTGGTTAGCATGCATTAAGGCTTTGGATTCAATCCTCAGCACCTAAATAAACAAATAAAAAATACTGATATATGATCATACACACATTTAAGGCTGAGCTTGCCGCCTTAGCCTAAAAAAACAACAACAAAAACTTCTCACAAAGCCCAGTACATAACAGCATGCTCAGCCAACTTTAAATTTGAACTGAGAAGTGATATTTGATAGAGCAAAAGACAGGAGTTCTAGGGTCAATTATTACTCTACCAGTAATGGCAGGGAAGTCAAAATCTTGCTTAACAGGTAAACAGAAGGGCCTGGGGATTTAGCTCAGTGGTGCTGCCTGACTCAAAAGTGCAAGGTCAAGAGTTCGATCCCCAGTACCAAAATAAACAAACAAAAAAACACGTAAACAAAATTATTCTCCAACTTAATTACGTCAAACTGCATAGAACATTATTACACTGACAAGTGAAATTATTTTCAATAGTATGGCTTTTAAATCCAGGCTTGGTGGCGTCTGGGGAGGCTGATCATGACTTCCAAGCCAGCCTGGGGTACACAGTAAATTCGAGGCCACCCTAAGCTACACAGAGACCATATCTCAAAAAAAAAAAAAACAAAAAACAAAAAACAAAAAACAAATTAGGAAGCACTACTGATGGAACCCAGGGCCTCAGGCACAAAGAAGTACGCTTTACTACTGCACTACATCACTAGCACTATGACACTGTTTACTGATCAACATTTTTAAAATAAATACTCGCTCGTTTTTAACAGCCCCAATGTAGTCAGATAGGAAATGTATCAGTAAGGTTCTACTACATGAAAGTCCTTCCGGTCCTAAATCTCCCTGATTTCCTAAGAATAAATTCAGGGTGATCCAAGCATTACAAATCTACCTCCACCCAACCTGCTGCTGTATTCCAAGTAGAGCAAGAGAGGATGTGCTTCGGTTACTACAGAACAAAAGCAGCTCCCAAAAAGTGGGGAGAGGGAAAAGCTCAGGTGCTCAGCACGCAGGACCTTGAATAAAACACTAAAATGACCTGAAGTGGAAGTAGCACCAGCCTGTGAAGCAATCTTTGTTTTAGGATTTGAGAAAATTGAGTTTGCCTGTCCTTTCTTTTTCTTTGTCCCTAACTAGACCTGCCCTGGTCAGAAGTCACCTTTCTTATCAATAGGAAGGCGAGTTGCACTAGATTCTCAGGCCGGAACAATCTTCCCCTCCGACTAGAGGTTACCCCTAAGCTCCCAAACCCGCGAGATCTGGGGCCTCTCCCAGCAAAGTGCAGCGGCGCTTCTCAGCTGGTTTCCCCCGCAAGAGGGCCTAACAGCAGGCAAGGCTGGTCCAAAATCACACTAGCGACAACTTGCCCAGGTGTGTGTGGGAAGACAGAAAGGGTCACTCGCTCACATCCTCATGGGAGAGGACCCGCAGGACCGCGCCCTAAGGAGCCCGGGGTGCAGGCAGGGGCCAGGGACGCCGCTAACTCACCCACAGGCTGCTGAAGTAGTCCAGCCCGCGGCAGATGAGCACGCCAGCGTGTGCCAGCAGCACCTGCACGCCCAGGTAGCTGCCGAGGCAGTAAAGGCCGTAGAGCAACGGGCCGCCCGCGCCCAGGAAGAGCAGCAAGCGGCGGCGGCGCAGCGCCTGCTCACCCAGGGCCTCTACACCGTAGTCGGCGAAGCAGAGCGGCAGCAGCAGCGCGCCCAGCACGATGGGCGTGTGAGCGCGGTGCAGGCGCTGGAGCCAGTGGCGACCCAGACGCGTCAGCGAGCTCTTGAAAGGGTGCAGGAAGGTTCCGCACAACACGGCCCACAGCAGCGGTCGCAGGAAAGCCTCGAGGATGAAGTAAACCAGCACCGCAGCGCCGCAGCACAGACACACGAACAGCACTGCCCCCGTGTTATAGAAAGCCTGTTTGATGGGCTTGTCAAAACGCAGTGCCAGAGCCGCTGTCCGCGGAGTCTCCCCGCTGCCCAGCCCCGCTGCGGTAGGGGCTCGGGGCTCCCGCCGAGGGGAGCCCCGCGGGCTAGACGCCCGAGGAGAGCAGCTGTGGTCGGCCATCGCGCCTCTGCCGCCGCCGAGAGGCGGTCCTGAGAGCCTGTGAAGAGCGCAGACGAAGCTGGTGAGCGCCGCGCAGCCTTGTGGGAGTAGTAGTTCCCGGCCGTCTGCTGAGCACATGCGAGACTCTCGGGAAACTACCACTCCCAGAGGGCATGGCGTGAGCTCTTCCGTCCCCTTCGCCCATTGGTCGGCCCCCTAGTAAGAAGTTTCTGAGGCCAAGAGCGGAAAAAAATCTTCTCTTCCTTCTTTGGTTGACGTCAACTTCACCGGAGCTGAATCCCCAGAGACTGATCAGGCTGCACATTAGAATTCCGTGAGGAGTACTTCAAAAGATCGATACCCAGATTCTACTGTACTTTACTGATTCATTTAATAAACTCTTTTAAAGTATTCGCTGTGGTGTATTTAACAGAATTTTAAGTAGCGCTCACCAAGAGGCAGTCCCTGTCATAAATACCTCGCTTCTATGAACTCATTTCATCCTCAAAGCCCTACAAACGTTTTATTAACCTCATTTCACAAACAGGAAAAATGAGGCAAAGGAAAGTTAAGTATATGGCCAAGGTCACACTGCAACCAAGTGGCAGAGGAGGGATACAAACTCAGAACTCTATGTAACTATTATCTTCTGTAGGAACTGGTCTTACAAAGGAATCTTTTAAAGCTCCTCGGGAGGATTGTAACCTGCACTATTTGTCAGATTGTAATCTGACAGCTATTTGAGCAGATGTCAGTATGGGAGCAGTCTAAATTCTTCAAAGCGCCCTCTGTCAGAGTCTTAAACTGCCACTCTTTCTTTTGTAGGACTCAGGGGGCCAGGACAATTAAGCCCCCAATCTCCCTGTCCCCTCCATCTCCTCGGGGATGATGATAGTAGTAGTTCTTGCCTGAGAGTTGCTATGAACAAGAAGATCTGAGGGGTGCCGCATGCTTCTGTTTAGCTGTTGGAAAAGTGCTAGGATTCAATTCTGCTACCCATAAAATATCCCAAACATCGTTTTTCTTTTAAAAAATTAAGAAAGAAAACATTTACTGAGCACTCAATATATGAGTGTTCAAACTCTCTGCTATCTCTTTCCTGTTTTCAACAAGTTTTCACTTTAATTTCGAGATGAATTTCATTCCTCTTTTAAATTAAAAAAAAAAAAGACAGGTTCCAGATGTAAAAATTGTTGCTTATTAAGTCTTGGAGACAAAGGCATCCAGTAAATGATATAAAAATTCCTTTCCATCTCATTTACAGGTTTCAAATAACATTTATCCAGGTGGTCTTTGGAAAAAAGTTCAATTCAATAAATGTTTTGCTTCAGTTGTTTCTAGATTTTGCTTTGCTGCTTAACCATCTTTGTGCCAGATCATGATTACAAATTATGGTCAGTGTCCATTTTCACTGGCTCAAGCTCCTATTTTTATAACAAAGCCTCAGTCTCTATCCCAAAAAGCCCTCAGTTTTTCTAAGGAGCTCCAAAGGGAGTGCCTCACTTATGCTCAGAGACTTGAGTCGGCCATCAACCGTCCATGTCACACCATTGCCCAAAACAGCTTCCGGATTCTGGATCTCTGAGAAGCTGCATTTTTTATGTTGCTCACCACCTTGCCATCTTCTTTCTCCAAAAAAAAGTTATTTTATTTATAAGTCAAGTCCTGCCAGTTTCGAATCCTAAAAGTGATATGAAGTCACACTTGCCTTTCTTTATGATGCCTCTCTATACCCTCTGCCTTTGTTTGCTCCCAGCCCTTTGGTTTAATCAGTTTGGGATCTTATTAGAAATTACTATAGCCAGGGTGATTTAAATAAGAGAAATGTATTTCTCATACTTGTGGAAGTCTGGGAGGTTTGAGACCAGGGTACCTGCATGGTTGTGTTCTGGTGAGGGTTCTCTTCCTGGTCCAAATATGGCTGACTTTCTGTAGTGTCCTCACATGGTGGAGGTAAGCACTCTTGTCTCTTCTTCTAAAAGGACTAATCCCACCAGAAGGCTCCACTCACATAACCTAATTACATTCTCCAAAGGCCTCATCTACAAACGCCATCACACTGGGCACTATAGCTTCACCAAATAAATATTGAGGGCATAAAAACATTCAGTCCAGAGAGCCCTTCCTTAAGACTCAGCCTCAGTCCTGCTTTCCTGGTTGTCCCAGTCCAGGTTAGAACCTCTGCTCTAGGTTTGTACCAGACACGAGCATTGACCACAAACTAATGTTAAGGTTGGCTTCCCAAGCAGGCTGTGAGTCCACTGTGGGCAGAAATCAAGAGCAGTTATTCCTAGAGTTCTCTGTACGTAGCTATCTGGTACAGGGATTGGTGGATAAGAATCTTCAATAAATAGTTATTAAATAAATGAATGAGTGCTTCAGGCCGCTAGATGTGGTGTCTTTCCCATTCACTCAAGTTCACTTCAGTTCTCTTACAGCTTATCCCCTGGTCTTGCATCTAGATTAAGCCCTAAGAAATCTCCAAGTTTAATAGAACCTGCGGTTAAGTCTTATAAGTAGGCTACCCACGAAGATACTGCAAAATAAATATCACAGGGTACAACTAGAATGTCAAATAAGGACCAAAGATTTGCGGTTTTGTGGTGAGGACTAGAGTATATATTATTAATACTCTATAATATATATTACTCTATAATGTTGAATGTGGTAGTGCCTGATTCTTTTTATAACGTCCCATTCCAAGAGCTTTTCAACCTAGTCCCAATAGAATCAGCAGCTCAGCTACTACATTTTTCACTTTCTATCCCTCTTATGATTCACAAAGCTCTACAACTAAACTCTTAACTATTCTTAACATATGCAGTAATATGATTTGTCAATGAGGTTCCTAATTTAAATTTTTAGAGCTAGCTATGTGCAATTAACTAGCTGATACACCTGAAATTGGGTTACAGACCTCTATTTACTATACTTGATAAAGGATTAAGTTGAAGCTATAAACATGAGTTTATTTTGTATACTGCTTCTCCACAGTGGTCTTTACCTGACTCTAACAACATGACGCTCCTCTTTGTCACACAAGACTTTCCTCTTTGTTACCCAAGACATGCTGTTAACTTCTCCAAGGTCTATAGGTTCAGAGAGAACTGAGGGAGACTTAAAGTTTGAAAAGATTTAAAACAAAGAAACAGAAAAGCAAAAACGCACCACAGCAAAAGTTTAAGGAATTATAAACTAATTTTAATTACATCAACAGGAAGGAATTCAAACTGTTTGGAGAATTTATATTCGAAAGTTTAAATCTAGATAATATATTCTGACTATAACATAATCTTCTAAAGATAAAAGTATTTATGATGGCAAATGGACAGAACAATCATTTAGGTACCATTTAGAAATATTGCTACAATTATTTTACATAAATAGAAATCCATGTCTTTGTTGGTAATGTACAACATATGTTAGAGTAAAAATTCACATAGACAGGCTTATAAATATACATTTGTATATAATCTCAAAATCAATCACAATTGAACATTAGGTATGCAATTATTATAAAACAAATATAACCCATTAATGTCTATTTAAAGGCATAGTTTTTACAAAATATTATTTACAGACAGTCTCAAAAAAGTATAATACTCCTGGAGCCAGAGTGTTCCAGTATATCAACATGTCAGTGGGAATAAGGCGTATGGGGAAGTAGCATTCGCCTTTCCATGTGACCAGGACATTCTAGGTGATAAAGCTGCAAAGACTCTAGTGACCTGGCTGAATGCCATACCCACCGAGCACCCCAAAACCTGATTACTCTCCAGAAGAATCAAACTGAATGGTTATTCACCCAATGGAACATAGTGAGAGAAAACAAAACTTCACTAAACATCAGTGTATTTTAACCAAAAGAATCCCAAAAGGCTTAATGTAACATATTAATTTTTAGGTGCCAGATATATTTAAAATCACATTAGCTTAACTACATTTTCATGAAAAGAAGCTTACATGCAAGTCATCTGCTAAACATAAAACAGAGAAGAACAACTTGAGACTAAATAATCTTCTAATTAAATAAAGAAACTAACTATGAAGAATATATAGGTTCCATTAATATGCTAGTTATTTGGCCAATATTAGTCATGGTTTCTTAACTAACAGTATAGAAAAATCAAATTTAAAGATGATACTTTATATACATATATAATATATATTGTATATATTATATATGTATATATTTTTTTTTGACAGAGTCTCACTATATAGTTCAGGCTGGCCTTGAACTCTAGGCAATCCTCCTGCTTCAGCCTCCCAACTGCTGGGATTACAGATGTATGCCACCACACACCCAGGACTTTTTATATGTTCTTAACAACTCATAAAATGTTCAATGGAAGAGGCAAGGCTCAGCTAAAGATGCAGAAATTCCTACATACAAACTAAATTACTATAAACTCAAGGGCATGTGTGACTATAACATACATAATGTTTTATTTCTTGGGTTTTAAAATGGTCAAGGAATCAAAAAACAAACAATCCTGACAAAGACCTTAAAATGCCTGTGGGGTGTGTGTGTGTGTGTATGTGTGTGTGTATGCATTTATGTATAAATATACTCCTACCTCATCACATACACACACACAAGCACACACACATACATACTGTGAACAATCAAACTGCTCACTGAACAAAATCAATTCTGTGTAGAGAACAAGGATATACAAGCATATACAACAACAAAGTATATACATCTCAGCATTTGGCCTAGTACACCGGCCCTCAAACATTTTTCCATCACACAGAGAATGTTACATACCATGTGTAAAACTCCCATGGGTGTGGCATATTTTGATAAATTTCTACGGGGAAATAAATTACTCTGAAACATTGAAATTCCCACCATGAAGGGCAGTTCAACAATAAAACTATTGGCGATGGCCACAGCTTAGGTAAAACAAAACTGTAGCTTATCAGCTCCACACTTTACTGTCACTTCTTTTGCACCAACTGTGGAAAATATATTAGAATATAAGCACATGGCAATGTCATTATGCCATTTATTCATAATAATGAATCAATTATGAATTAATGTAAAAAAAATAGTCATTAACTTTGATATTTTTACAATTGACCAGGAGGAAGCTACTGGCAGCATAATTTACAACTGATTGTAAAACAGGAGTCCCTGATAGAGCAATGTGGGAAAATCACAGTTCAGGAGCCAAACCCAGCCTACTTCCTGTTTTTGTTCAGCCTGCAAGGTAAGGATGGGCATTTTTAAGTAGCTATTAAAAATCAAAAGAGCCAGGGATTTAGCTCAGTGGCACAGCGCTTGCCTTGCAAGCACAAGGTCCTGAGTTCGATCCCTGGTACTGCCAAAAGTAAAAATAAAAATAAAAAGAACATTTCTGATATATGAGAATTGTGTGAAATTCAAATTCAGTGTCAATTAGGTTTTACTGGAATACAGCCATGCTCATTCATTTATGTACTGTCGGCAGCACAGTGGAACACGTGAGAGACACAGGGCACAAAGCCAAAAATATTTACAATCTGGCTCTTCACAGAGAAAGTTTACCAACCCCTGGGTTGTAACTACAGCTAAGAATGACACACGACTTCAGTGGTAACTTCTCTGAAGACAAAATCCTGAATATAAACAGTAAACTTAATGAAAGAAATAGTAGTAAGTACCATCTGGGGTAGAATCCATCCCTGACATGCCCAAACTTTCTCATTTTTTTAATGACAAACACCAGCCCAGATAATTAAATATACCCCTACATTTTGCCTGAAATCGTATCTATAAATTTGTCTTCAAGACTACAATGGAGTAATAAAAGGGCACTGGGTTCCAAGTTAGAAGATGAACCAAAATTTTAGGCGAGTCACTTTTTAACTGAGATAAATACATTCTTCCAGTTTTTCCCAATCTGTATATTATTTTTAAAAATCTGACTAAAAGCACTAAAACGATTGATAAAATAATTAAAATGTTTTAAAAGAAAAGAAAATTGGTAGAAAGTAAAATATGTTCCTTTCCCCAAATATAAATATAAAAAGTCCTCCTACTCACTGTAAATTGCTAAAGGGGGAAAATGGTAAGCAACTAATTTGAATAAGAGTAGTAGGGTCCATTTAATAAAAATTTTCATGAATTTTCATAAAGGTGCACGAATGTGTAGGAAATCATGTCACCTCCTAGGGCTTTGCAGCCCCCTTGTAAAAAAAGTGCACTGGATTTATTAAACATTCTCTAAATTCCTCACCAGCCCCGATAACTTATATCAAATGACTAGCCTCATTTTATTCATCTGTAAATTTGTATTACTAGAAATTCCCTATGGCTATGAGAATTAAATGAACTGATCCACATGAAGTTGCTTAGAACAGCACTAAACACATTTGGCTAGCATCATTATTATTATTCCATTCACACATTTTACAAAAACACTGGTACAGCAATTCCCCTGTGACAAGTATTATACTAGAAAATGGGAATACAGAGGTAAAGTAAAAGTTTTTTTCTGTTAGGTAAGAATGAATGAAGTCAAACTCCATAGAGTTTTACCTTCAGCATGCCTATGAATTGAAGGTTCTTTGAGGTGATGGTCAAACGTTATTCTATATCCCTACCCGAAGAATTATTATGCCTGAACAAATATTATTATTTTTAAAATATCAACTAAGGCCCCCTGTAGGGCAAAATAGCATTGTTACTAATGATTTTCTATTTATGTTTCAAAAGACAAAGTTTAGTGTTTGCTAAAAGAATAGTTTATGGTTTGATCACAGGTGGGTGGAAGAATATAAAAATGTTGGCCAGTCTGATAACTTATATGAAACACAGGCCTTCTGAGACAAATTTGCCGTAACAATATATATATATATATATATATTCATATATTTCATATATTTACCTATTTCACAAATATCCGCTGAGTACCTATTATGGAGTAGGCCTGCTACAAAGATGAGTAACAAGAAAGGGTCCCTGCATTAAGGAGTTAGCAGGAATAACAAAGGCAGCAATTATTATGAAATATGATGAGTATTATGATGAGGAATCCCAGTAACCTATAGGAGCACTGGGCAGAGACCCAAACCTTACTAGTCCAGGAGACTGGAAGAAAAAGTAAGCTGTGACCTGAAAGATGAGAAATAATTTATCATACACAGAAGGCAGAGAATGTCTGAACACATGGAATTCGTGAGAGTTGAGAGAGAGCAGGTCTGGGGCTAGGGTGTAGCTCAGTAAAACATCTTCCTGGCATGTCCACGCACAAGGCCCTGGGTTCCATGCCCACCGCTGGCAAAAGAAAAAAATGCAAAATCTGTAGAATTAAGAGCCCTTCAGTCTTGCTGGGACATAGCAATGGGGAGGAAGGAACGATATTGGAGCTTAGCAAATGGTTAGCATTTTACTAAGTTTAGTGACAAGTCTAAGCATAAATATGCAAAACTGGTAATCAAAGTACAAACAGTTAGTGAAATAAATAGCTTGCCTTGAAATATAAGCAGAAGGAAATTTCCCTCCTCGTTACTAACTGAAGCCTCTCTTTTGTCTTAACCCAGTTATAGCTCAAATATTATACACATGAGAGTAAAATATAAAAATATGTGCTTTCTTATTTGTAATGTGGGTGCCTGCATACTCAATAACCTCACTCCTAACCAGTCACTGCGAAGGTGCTACACAGGCCATGCTCAGCCACGACAGAGGGCTTAGCGAAGAGGCAGTGGCAGTCAAAGCAGAGTTGGGGACTTGAATCTTGGGTCTGTAACCCTCCCCAGTTCCATATCATTTCATCGCTCCACATCTGCAATGAGAAGTACATCTCCAACATCTCGTGGAAAGACATGGTGACCACGCAGTGTCACACAACATAACAGTTTTCCTTATTTGGTTCAGGTCCAGAAGAATGTGAAAGCTTTCCCCACAGTCAGACTTTCACCTCTGACACGAATCTGGAAGATGGCTTTTAAAAATCACAGGCTCCAGTGTTGCTCAATCACAAAGTTGGAGCCAGCAACAGGGCCATGTCAGAGAACTCTAGAATATTGCAATGGAAATGTCTCAGCAGCGTAGCTGTGCTCAGAGAAACCTTTCCTCTAAGTAGGCCTTTAGCACAGACATTTGGGACAAAGGAATATTTGGATTCATTTGTAAAAAGGAAACACACTACATCTAGGCATCACTATAAATTACACTGGCTGCCAGTCTATAAGTTACAAGCCTAAACAGGTTGAATTAATACTCCAGGTGAATTTACTTTATAGGAGAATTTTCTAATTTAATTTAATTTAATTTTCTAATTTAAAAACAAATCTATCTCATGTTAAATGTTTTGCTTCAAATCTCTACAATCTCCCAAATGTCGATGTACTATTAAAATACCTTAAATTTTTGTTAAGATAATTTGTCCATTCCAACACATACTAAATGTATGCTGACTTTGACAACAGAATTGTCTATAATCATAAATGAGTACCTTAGTTTATAAAATACAGTGGTAGAAGAGCCTAGATTCTAACTGCTAAGAATTCCCATAGTTTCATCACTAAAATCATTTTACATCCTCAGGAACGCACACAATTCTGTTTGTAACTTTCCCAAACAGCAGTACAAAAATATCTTCTCATAACTATGCACTAATTTAGGAGAATTGTAAAAGAAATACAGACCATTTTCACATCAGTGCACTCTCTCCTGTTTTCCCCATCAACTGTGTAAACATCCCAGCACTGATGCTGTATAGGAATTTGCTGTAGGCTGCCTGTGAACTTCCGACTTTCAGTAAAGTTCTCCCTAGTAACACTCAAGGTAACTACCTTGGGCTGCAGCACTTAACACTAAAGACCATTCAGAGACTTGATTTCTGCTCCTAGCTCTTTCTCTACCTTGCTATGTGTCATGTGACCAAGTGGCTAAGGCTACACAACATATAAAAAGTCATTAAAAGGCAGCCTTTCCAAATTTGAAATCCTATAAGGAAGATGGTACTCATAATTTTATCAAACCAACACAGAGTATTGTGAAGCTCAAATAAAAAAAAAACATATCTGAAAGTGCTTACAAAAGTTTTAAGTAGTTTCCAAAATTAGGACCATTATTAAACAATCCTCTTTAACTAGAAAGGAAGCTTGTTCTTTCTTTTGAAAAGCTAAAATCATGAGTTGTTTTTAAGTCACACAAGCTAAATTTACACTGGTTATTCTAGGAAAATATATTTATACTAAAGGTATTCTGATCCATGTAATCTGTTGACCTTGAAGCTGTGGTTAAGGAGTTCCCATCAATAAATAGAAGGTCAGGGCAACAATGAGAAGCAAGCAAAACGGAGATGAGAAGGTTTGATAGGCAGCGGACGGCATAAAAATGTCTTCATACTTGTAAATACTGACGACGCGTTCAGAAGCTGGTGGAGAGTCTATATCATGTCTGGTGATAGAGCCTTTAAGGAAGCAAAATAGAACAGGAGAGGGCAGTTGGAAAAAGTACAGATTTAAAATGGTATATAGGCAAACAACAGAAAAACTAAAGAAAAGTTTGTAGTGATAAATACATCCACAGTGATTACAAAGATCTGGAATCAGGTATTAGAGTTATCCTAATTCTCTGTAAGTGTGTATATAATGAAGAACACTGAAATTAGCTAAATTCGTCCAAACAGACTTGTTTTCATTAATGGGCAACCCCACCTAACATCAGTACACTATCTGTCTCTCCATGGTACCTTAGTTTTAAGACTGCTACTTAGATGGGGTTGTAAAAATTCCTATTTGTAATGTTTTTAGTGAGTTTCATCTTCTGAACACCACATGGATAAAGTACATTTTATTTCAAACAGCAAAGGCTACATATTTTTGCTACTCAAATCTATCTTTTGTATATGTAGCATCAGCAACTCCTGATGACATCAGCACCTTCCTTATAGATGGAAGCCTCTTTCATTGTCAGTAAGACATAAAGAAGTAGCCTGTCCAGGCAGACCAGAGAAGGTATGTGTCCATATGTCTGTCTGGTGGAATGAGGTAGAATAATACAGGAAAGAGGATGACTATGAAACAAAACAAGTGTTTGGATGGGAAAGTTTTTTTTAAATCTGGTTACAAGTGGAAAGAGGAAAAGGCTGTGTGTAAAAGATGGTTGAGGGCTGGCAGTGCAGCTCAGTAGTAGAGGCTTGCCTACCATATATGAGGCCCTGGGTTTGATCCCACCACCAATGTCAAAGAAAGAAAGAAAGAAAGAGGGCCAGGTATGTTGGCACACGCCTATAATCCCAGCACTTGGGAGGCTGAGGCAGGAGGATCGCTGTGAGTTCAAAACCAGCCTGGGCTACATAGTGAGTTCCAGGTCAGTCTCAACTACATAGTGAGACCTTGTCTCAAAAAACCAAAAAAGGCAGGAGGATCGGTGAGTTCAAAACCAGCCTGGGCTACATAGTGAGTTCCAGGTCAGTCTCAACTACATAGTGAGACCTTGTCTCAAAAAACCAAAACAAAAACAAAAAAACAAACAAACAAAAAGAAAGAAAGAAAGAGAGAGAGAGAGAATAAAGAAATAAAAGGTAGTTAATAAACTGGGCACGGTAGCATGTACCTGTAGTCCTGGGTACTGGGGAAGGTAAGGCAAGAGGATCACTTGAGCACAGGAGTTTGAGGCCAGTTATGAGCAACCTAGATAGCTCAATCCCATTTCTTTAAAAGGATGTATAATAAACCAAAGCTTAAAACGAGTGCCTGGCCTTCTGAATAGCCACAGGAAACTTGAATGAAGGAAACTAAGGCTTATGTATTCAGTGTAAAGGTCTTACGGCTAGGGATCAGAGTAGGTTGTGCGCGTGTGTTACTTAAAATTGAATCCTGGGCCTTCACACGGAGCTACATCCCCAGCCCTTTTTATATTTTGTTTTGATACAGGGTCTCAGTAAGTTGCTCAGGCTGTGCTCGAGCTTGCAATCCTCTTGCCTGGGTTTCCCAGAGAGAGATTACAAGCGTGTGCCACCATGCCTGGCTACAGCAGGGGGTTTTAAGAATGATTTCTGGTGGAAAAGCCCTGCCGAACTTCCCATGTAGTCACAGCTCCTCAGCTAGCTCGAGTTAGCACAAATGCCTCGGGCTTCTTCTCTCCCAAAGGTCCTCTCACTTCTCCAACCACACCTCTCCTCTCTGGTCACCAATGTGAGCTCCTAGACCTAACCACACACCTCCAGTGCATGCCCTCTGAGAGAACCCAATCCGTAACAATTCTGAGCCTGAACTCAAAGTTCATCCCCTCAAAGAGACCTTTAGAGAATGGTTAAGATTTAACCAACAGAGGGGAGGCAGAAGGGTACTCAGGAAACAAGACAAAAGCAAGCCTGTATCCTGGGTGGGAATGCATCTGTTGTGCTTGGAAATAGTGAGGAGAAAACAGAAGTCCTATTAAAACTTATCAGAGAAAGCCAGATATAACTGAAGAGGACTTTGAACATGAGGATGGGGTGCCATATACATAAGAAGATGACCTCCTGAAATACAGTTGTCTACTTATCAGCGAGTTTACCTTTTATGGTTTCACTTTCCCACAGTCAATCAGAGTCCAAAAATACAGTACCGTGCAATAAGATTGTGAGAGAAAGAAAACGAGAGATCACACTTATATTAATTAACTCATTGTATCATTATTGTTGTTCTATTTTTAGTTATTGTTGTCAATTTCTTATTTAAAAAACAGTGTATATATAGGGTTTCAACATCTGTTGAGGCTTAGAACACATTCCCTGCAGATACCCGAGGGCCTCTGTATAGCACTTTCTAAGCTGTAAGGCAATTTCAAATATTTGTTTTCACTTAACCCTTTCAATAATCTCATGAAATAGATACTATTATTATCCCACTTTAAACATAAGGAAATAAAATTCAGATTTTAGATAGCAAGCTGAATATCATATAGCTACCAAGGGCAAGAACCAATACTCAAACTGATTTTAAAGATTCCAATTTCCAGCAATTGACTGAGTTCATTTCTCTAGGCTAAGATTTAATTTATTTCCCAGGATATTGAAAGTACTTGAAGGTATCTTTGCAGATCCATTGAGAAATAAGTAAATGGGAAAAAATGTTCAGAATCTGGAGGCATCCATTGTGCAATCTCCACAGCAATCAATGAAAACAAATTGAACAAAAAAGCAAACAAACAAGACCCTGAGATCAGATGATGCAACAAAGAGTTGCTAAGCACACAGTAAAGAAAGATGCAATTAGCAGGAAGCAAGATGAGTTTCTTGGATAGACTGCAAACAAAACTCTCTTCTTGGTCAGGCTACCCTGCTGATCAACAAGGAAGAATGCTCAGCACAGAATCTCACGTCCATCCCCACCCCAGGCCTGCAGAAGACTGTATTTTAACAACACAGCCAGGGAAACTCTCATGCATATTAATCACTGAGGAGTAATGGGGGAGACTTATAGAATAATTTGGACTCATGACCACCAGAATAGTCCTAAAGTAAGTACTAATAACATGCTCGCTGTCAAGCTCAAGAGAAACTTTTCTCTGTTCAGTTTTGTTTTTGTTTTTTGGAGGATGGGGTTAAGGGTATTCACTGACTTTGGCATCAGACAGACAGGACTGAATTTCAGTTCTTCACTTAATTAGTTGAATGGCTTTGAGCAAGTTTCTTAGTTTCGCTAAGATGAAGAAAATAATATCTAGACCTCTGCAGGTTGTGGTGAGGGGTAAATAGAAACATTGTGAGAATTAAATGACCCATACCCCTCACAGCAGACACATGACCTGTTTCATCAAGCACATAACTCACCATGTGCTGTCTCATAATGCTCTAGCTTTGCACGTATGTGCTACTTGTCCTTGGGGATAAATTCATCATACCCTTCTGAAGGAAGGAGTCATAGCTCTTTTTTCTTTTATATTATTTAGAGTGCTTAAAGCTGTCTGGTCCTCACAGTGTAATGTCAATTAATAATAAAAGCAAGCACGGTGGTGGTGTCTTCTGTTCAATGCAGATGCCAAAATGCAAGCTTACCCTGAATGGCTGGACCCCAGGCAAACAGGTAATACCAACTCAAATGGAGATCGACAATTGTTTCATCTCTGGGAACATTCACAGGGCGTTTAAACCTGCAGGTGACACGATTGTTCTCGAAGACTCCTTCTTCATCTCTGGCAGGATTTCTCTGAATCTCCTTTGCCCACTGGCCTACGTTATAAAAGTGCTGTATGCGGACCCTGCCATTGTCATCATGGACACAGGCCATGACGTCATCACCACCCTAATATGGAAATAATTCAGAAGAAAAAAGTCAATTTGTCTTTTGCAAACTTTTCACTCAGAAGTACATGCACCATCACTTCTGTAATTTGAAATCCTACCACAAATTATTTTAGGGCTGGGGATGTATGTCACTGGTTGTCAGATAGTGTTCATTTGCGATATCCTTTATAATAAATGGGTGTTTACTTGAGTTCTATGAACCGCTCTAGTAAATTAATGAAATGCCAAGAGGGGTTTATGGGAACTCTAATTTATAGCCACTTGGTCAGAAACACAAGTCACAATTTAAGACTTGCAGTCGGTGGTTTAAAGTGAGTGCCAGTAGCTAGGCAGGTACAAGGTATGACCAAAAACATACAGTAAAATGTCTGCATTTAAAAATTTTTAAAATTATTATAGTAAAAGATATATTGATATTAAAATACCTCCAAATAGTCCCCCTTGCTTTGACCACATTAATATCACCATTCTTGTCACTTTCTGAAGCAGTTCTTGAAGTTCTCTTTTATGTGTGTTTTTTCATGGCTGCCTTGATGTCCTGAATTGATTCAAAACACTTAAGGCAATTACTTCGAATAAAAACATTACAGTACATCCTCATTCACCTTTTTTTAAACTAGATCTGACATCATACAACTTCCGGCTCTTCCTAAAAATCCAAATGACCATGAAAGATAAATGTCTTGAATTAATTCAGGACACCAGGGAAGCCATGACTGTGTAACTAAAGACACTCACTGAAGAGGATTTTCAGAACCTTCAGAAAGTGGCAAAAACAAGGGGATAAGTATGTTCAAAGCAAGGGGGAGGATTCTGAGTGGAATTAATGGCAATATATGTTTATAATAAACTTTTTAGAAAATTTAGTCACAATATGTTTTCAATCATACCTCATGCTTTTAGGGACACTCACTAAGGGGTGTGTGTGTGTGTGTGTGTGTGTGTGTGTGTGTGTGTGTAAGGGCTGCTGCCCCCCTAAATCATTAACATTCATTCAAAGTTGGTTTTTGTTTCACTTAAGGCACTCCAGAGGAACCTTCCAACCAGCCACTCTGACTTAATCTTTTTAGGTAACTTAGAGTATACGTTGCTAATTATAATACTATGTTCTCTGCCCAAAGGTGTTCCACTAGTCATTTTTTTTATAACATGTAATATATGAACCTGTCTCTACAAGATGGCAGGTCTTTCCTATCTGAATATGCAAAAGTTTCCCCAATAAAATCCCCTTGTATTCTTTGTTCAAGATTTGTGTAAGCTGCTGCCCCTTTAAATCATTAACATTCATTCAAAGTTGGTTTTTGTTTCACTTAAGGCACTCCAGAGGAACCTTCCAACCAGCCACTCTGACTTAATCTTTTTAGGTAACTTAGAGTATACGTTGCTAATTATAATACTATGTTCTCTGCCCAAAGGTGTTCCACTAGTCATTTTTTTTATAACATGTAATATATGAACCTGTCTCTACAAGATGGCAGGTCTTTCCTATCTGAATATGCAAAAGTTTCCCCAATAAAATCCCCTTGTATTCTTTGTTCAAGAAGACACCACTTTGAGGGTAATCCCTAGTGCTTTTTCCTTACTCGCTGCAAGTAATAAATCCTGGTTGTGCTTATCAGTTTTGTGCTCATGAAGGGGTAGACCGCTGCATTTGGATACACAGACAGACTGGCCCTTCACTTGTGGGATGTGATGCTATCAGATATGAACTGAATTACAGGACACCCAGTTGGGTGTCCAGTGGAGAAGTGCTTGATATGTAGCGAAGAACCAACACATATCTGGTCATAGACGTGCTCAGTGTTGAGTGTGTGAGTAGAGGGGAAAAATCGTTTTTTTCCGGGTCTCTTTACTTCTGCCGTGAAAAGAACATGTTTTGGTGGGGCATTTCAGACTGACAGAGAAAACCTGAATCCAAACCATGGACTGCCGCTGGTACACCTGGGCCGCACCTACAGTGAGCTGAGCCCAATCAATGCACACATGTATGAGTGAGCCAGAATACTGTAAATGCTTCATGCTTTTAGATATGCAGTCCTAGAGGTACTACAGCATTACTATGGACTCAGCTTAGGACTACAGCTCTGCAAGCCACCTTGTATTATGATAACCAATCTTTCCACTTAAACTAGATTGAGTATTTTATTTTATTATTTTATTTGTGATACTGGGGATTGAATCCAGGGTCTCAAACATGCTAAGCAAGTAATCTATGGATGAGCTACACTCCCAATGCTTTAAACAATTTTTATTTTATGGCAGGGTCTTGCTAAATTGCCCAGGCTGGCCTCAAACTTGGAATCATCCTGCCTCAGCCCCCTGAGTACCTGGGATTACAGGTGTGTGCTTTGAATCTTTAAAAACTTGCAGTAAGCGAGATGTAACTAATATAATCATTATATTGCTTTGATCAATTTGTTTGCTTCTAAAAACCTAAAAAAAAAGCATAGCAAACTAAAGAGAAAAGGCAGTTTCTGTCACGATTTACATCTTACCATTTTCTTGTCTGAAGAGAATCCAACTGCTACCCAGCCATCGGTGTCAGCACTCAGCTCAAATTCCACATCAGCCCCTATCATCCGGTAGCTAAGGAAGTAGTCACAGGTCTCTGCGTTACAGCCTGGTTTGCCATATCTAGAGGATACATCAGAAGAGACATTGGCACTTATATTTACAAAAGTACAGTAAGAGAGCATCTACTATGTATCAAATAGGATACTTGGGAATATTATTAAATAAATTAGGTCTCTGCTTCTTGGAATCTCAAAAACACAGTTTCACCCAGTTAGGGACCTTGGAGGTGATCTATTCTACTTCACATAAAAAATGAGGTGCAGGGCCAGGGATTTCACTCAGTGGTTCTGGCACCTGCCTCGCAAGTACAAGGGCCTGAGTTCGATCCCTGGTACAAAAAAAAAAAAAGAAGAAGAAGAATATAAAAAATGAGGTGCAAAGAAGAGAAAGAATTTGGCCCAGGTTGCATAGTGAAGTCCATGGCAGCAACGGCAGTAGCACCTGGGTCTTTAAACTCCCAATGTTCTCTGCATTTCATTAGAGTTTCTTAAACTTCAGTTGTAAATATAAGAAAAAGAACTTAAAGTGTCCATCTTCAAGACAAAATAGTTAACTCTGGGTGGAAGATTATTGACAATTTTCTAGCTGCCTGACAAAGCTCATGCATTTGGAGGGTCTCTGGGCAGATGGGACCTTGAGAGAAAGATAAAAATAGTAAGAGAGCCTCTGTAGGCATGAGTAGGGAAAGGGAGAAGAAAAGCATAGTCTGCTAGCTAAAGCTAGGAAGAAATATAGAATTGTAATTGCAAGGTCACATGAAATCGCTGCACAGGTACATCCGCTTCTCAGAAAGGTCCGGAGTAAAGAACAGAATATTATAAAGAAATCCAAACTCAGACTGGAAGGGGACTGGGGAATTTCATCATAAAGAGGGGATGAAACATGAGGTGATACTCGGGAAAGATTGTGCCTCCCCCAGTCTAGGCCCAATGAGGAATACAGGGAAAGGACCGTCTATGTGCTGGAGTTTAAAATGCTTGGTGCAACTGCTCTGCATGTGCCTGTCCTTCAGACACCCCAGCATGCAAGACTGACTGCATTAAAGCTTTGCTTTTGTGATCTTTCCTGCTTCTGAAGTCTACTCTTTGGGTTTGAATGAGTGAATGTATTTCTCACATTACTAAATTATCTCTGAATACCTTTAGAGGGAAAAATTCTTTGAATTAGTAATTTAAATTATCTTCACTAATTATATTTACATCAACTTACTTCCATATTTTCACAGTTAAAATATCAGAAATTCAAAAATTATATATAAATCAAATTAAAAACCATGGAACATTGAAATTCACAGCATTTATGTCATGGGTGATATGAGTTTACTGAAAGCACATTTCTGCATTGTATATGCAGAACGTCTGACGATATCACGCAGTCTTCCAAGTTGAGCACGTTCTAACTACCAACGACAGTGTGATGACTCAACCCTTCCACTCTTATCTGTACCAAATGAATATTTCATCTTGCAACGACTGAGTATAAATGCATCATTTATTTATAAATTTGCCTTTGTGCTCTTGGGCTACTCGGTACTAATACAAGATCAGACACCAAAACATACAGCAATATGAAACGGTTATCCAGACAGTTAGAATATTCATACACTGATCTTTTCAAAGAGCATCACTGAGATAAAAACACAAATTTGAATTTTCTTACAAAGGACCTGTGGACCCTTTAAGAACCAGCAAGCCCTAGTTTGAGAAACACTGTATTACACCATTGTCAGAAAGATAGACAGTTATAGCAATGGAGTGTAGCTCAGTGGTGAAGCACGTGTGTAGCATGCACTAGGCTCTGGATTCAATCTCTAGCACAAAAAAGAAAAACAAATTGTAGTAATAGGTGAGATAATCTAAACAGATGGCTGATAATGGAAGTTCCTACCGGAATTCAAGGGTGCTAAGTTTTGATGGAGGAGGAAGTAAAAAACAAGCTACATGCTAGCAGGGATACCCTATACAGCATGGAAGAGATGTAAGATGAAGAAAACCTGGAGCTAGAATGTTAAAAAAATGAAATGAACTAAGGAAAATTAAAAAGGGTAGGAAATGGGCCAGTAAACAAGTCATCTGAAGCCAGCAGATGACTAAAATTTCTTCTCATCTCAAAAACATCTCCCAATCACCACAATTATATATTGCTGACTATCTTCCTCAACTATAGTATCAGGTTTTAAAAAATTTCTTTGAAATAACCTTGTAACCCAAAGACTGCTCAAGGCCCTTGTATTCAATGTTTCCTGTGAGCAACAAACAACCAAACCAGGACCCTCAGAGTAGTAGCCATCAAAACCCTTACTCAGGGCAATCAATGCCCGCAGTGCTGTTTCCTGGCCATCATGTCTTGACTACCAATCATCGTGTAAGGCCTCACCAGGTCTGAACTAAGAAGCTAGCTACAGTAACACATGCTTAACAACTAGATAGCATTGCTTAGAAATCCACAAGTCATAACTGTTCATTTGAAAAGAAACGGGGTATTAGACATGTCTATCATCGTCTGTCTTGCCCATAGCCCCAGCTGAACAAGCACAGATATTCTGTGTCATGTGAATCTTCCTGACACGACCAGTTGGTGAGGAATGGTCAGTACCAATGGCACTGCAGCCAGAAATGGAGAACTAGAGAATGTCCCAGGGCCTCATGCATGCTTGAGCTAAAACACTGAGTAGCCATTAGAAAACTCCATAACCTTGCTGAAGTTACAAAGGGGCACAGGAACTGTATGCAATTTAAATACCACCTTAAGAAATAAACAGATTTCTTAGCTTTAAACTTATCCAACTTGTAGTTCTACCAACCTAAAGCATCCCTTAGTTTTTCCACAGTCTTCCACTTTGATTTTGGCAAAAGGATCCACAGGAGGAGCAGTAGGGAAAGGGTAACCTGGGCAGGAAGAATAAATAAGATTAGGAAATCTAGTAACAACTTTCCAATTAGATTAAAAAAAATACATGTTGCCTATTTTCTGTCGCATATGTCTAGCAATGTTTGGGGACACAAAAAAGGATTTTTAACTAAGCCAAATTCATTCCCTTCTTGAGGAACAGGCATGAGGCACACAGCTTTGGATTCAAACTTATGGAGATGTAGAAGTGGATACGCCCTCTTCTCATTTTACAGTTAAGGAATTGGAGACACTTAATGGAGCATAATTCCATGTAACCACTGTCCCTTAGTAGTTTTAAAATTAGTTTTAATGCAACATCCATGCTTTGAAGAAAAAAACTGACAATGATATATTTATGTCCTTGATAGTAGGTTTTTTTCCACTTCTATACATAATAGGATTTTCCATTCTCTTTCTTTGATCTGTCATTTTGCTTAAGCAGTAACAGTTTCATGTCTCTAACTTCCTTAAAGAGAGTTCTAACAGCCATGTGTGTTTCTTATGGGATTACTTACCACCATGATGCACCAAACCACTCACTGAAGAACAAGCTGCCTTATACCTCCAGTTTATAACAGAAATATTTTTTTCTCCTGGGTTGTTTAGCTTATGTACACAGGTACTATGTGTGTTCTCTGCCCAGCACAAAGTATGACACTGGACACTTCAATAAGTAAATGATCGTCAACTGATAAAATAAAATCAACCACAGACATTAGGTAATGTGAATAAACTTGAGAAAAGGAATTAGTTTTTTTCTCAATTATTTAAAGCCTTTTATGACTCATAATGCTGTTTTAAATAGAATTTTATTTTATAAGATTTATTATACTTTAGGGGTTGGGGATATAGCTCAATGGTAGAGCATGTACTTTGTAAGCTTAAGGCCCTGTGTTCAATTCCTAACACTGCAAAAAACAAAAACAGATGGAAAGAGAGAGAGAGAGAGAGAGAGAGAGAGAGAGAGAGAAGGAGGGGGAGAGAGGCAGTCTCTATGCTACATTTTGGTGGCACACATTTGGTGCACTCTGGATATATTCTCTCCACCCCCTTTGCTGTACCAAGGATCAAACTCCAAACTCCAGACTTCGGGCTTGCAAGGCATTGCCACTGAGCTAAATCCCCAGCCCTGGATATTCCATTTCTATGATGCTAGACCTTGAATACATGATCTGACTTTCACCTCCCCTAAGTAATTGGGTCACAAGCATTACTTCTTCTAGTTTAGTTTTGTGCTTATTTTGTGCTAAAGCCTACACTCATTTCAGTATTACTGAAATGCTTTGGGTGAGTTTTTGTTTTTCTCTCAATATTTATTGAGCAGCTATTCAATGCTACAAGCTCATGTTAAGCATCTTCATATATATTCTTTCTCTTATTTCTCACCACAGTCCCGAGGCCATTTTTTTCTCAGAATATTTATCTAGGAATGCATGACTATGTATCATGTACTTAGACACTGTAGGTGACTGACAAACACAACCTCTTCTAATGTGGCTTCTGACTTTCTCTAAATAGGAAAAAACTGACAATGATACACTTTTATGTACTTGATAGTAGGTTTTTCTTCATTTAGATACATTATAGGATTTTTCCATTCCATTTTTGAAGTCACAAAGGGACATAGGCTCCTGATTAGCATAACCTGCATGCAATTTAAACATTATCTTGAAAAGTAAGCATATTTCAAACAGATCTTCACTGTTTCCTACCTTCTAGATTGACACAATGGTATATGCTAGGTTTCCAGCTCCATAAACACCAGTTATTATTACCACTGTATTACTATTACTATTAATTTTTATAAAGTAGAGTAAGAACTAATAACCACTGGGCAAGAAAAACAGGTTTCTAGACTCCAAATAAAAGCAAGTTTTGGAATCAAGCTCACGTAAATGCTCTGAGCTAATTTATTAGTGTTGGCAAATAGCTTCTCTAGCACTAATGTTCCATCATCTGGTGTGTTTCTGAAACTCGGAATGAGAACTTGTATTCTGTTAAACGCATCTGTGCGTCCCTTGAATCGCTTTTTCCCCCCCAGGGCCGGAGGTCGAACTTTGGGCCTCCAGCATGCTGGACAGGAGTGTCTCTGTCACTCAAAAGCCCCTTGAATCACACCTGAGTGCGCAGAGATGAGATGACTGGGAATGGGAGGGAAGTGGTCACCAGAAAGACCCATCATGTAATTAGAGGTTTAAGGCTCGGAGCCAGTCCTACCTCAAGGGAAGAAAGGGAGGTGGGAGATCGAGTTCAGTCACATGGCCCATGACTAAATCAAATCATGCCTCCAGAACAAAACCCTGAGGAAAGCTCTGGGTACTGAAGCTGAGCTGATATGTCGGGAGGGTGACGTGATGATTCCACGAGAGGGCATGGAGGGCCGGGGATTGAGCTCAGTGGTTCTGCTGCCTGCCTGGCAAGCACAAGGACCCAAATTTGATCCCAGAGAGAGAAAGAGAGAGTGAGAGTGAGAGAGAGAGAGAGAGAGACAGATTTTCTCTTCACTAGCTGGTCTGGAGCTGTATTCTAAATGTCAACACTACAATTATAACCATGGTGCTTTCCTAAGTTCCGCAAGTCATTCTAGCAAATAATGGGATGGGGGTGGGAGGAAGCCTCTGCACTTATAGTTGGTTGTTCTGAAGTGTGGAGAGTTTTGCTGTAGCCCAGGACCTTTAACTCGTGAAGTTTGCACCACCTCTGGGTCTTCAGTGCCAGAAATAAACTGCAGAACACTAGTAGAATTTGGTATTAGAATAAAGCGGAGCAATTATTCCCAAAATTAAATGATCCCCCAACATTTGGTATAAAATACATTTGCACTAGGTGTCAGTGTCTATGTTCTTGTCTACTGGCTACAACCCAGCCTTCCAGAGGCTGAGCACTTGCAAACCCTCCTCCTTTGCCAGCTGCTGAGGCAGTGCCAATAGAAGGCATTCAAAGGAGGCAGGAGAAGCCAAGGAAGACTTCCTGTCAGATTGCTCTGTGTGTGTGTATGTGTGTGTGTGTGTGTGTGTGTGTGTATACATATATACATATATATAAGGATTTTTTTTTTTTTTTTTTTTTTTTTTAAACCAGGGATTGAACTGAGGGCCTTGTGCTTGCGAGGTAGGCAGCAGAACCACTGAGCAAAATCCCTGGCTAGCTGTTCCAATATTTAAATCCTCAGTAACACTGCTTCATCCTTACAGTGGCAGTTGGTTTGAGTCCCCAGCTTTTTGCAAGACTCCCAGAACTAGCCTCATCCTGCTGCTCCAAGGGGCCAGGAGCTGGGCAGAACCCCATTCTCAAACAGCAGTCAAAACTATTCAAACAGGAGGTCCCCTGCCCATCAGGTTCTTCTAACCCAAGGCCTTTTACTTTGCAACTCCATCCCCATTTTTGTTTCTTTAGTCCCTCAATTTCTTCCTAGAAAATTCATTGGGCTGCTCATCCTGTTTAAAAAGCTAGTATAATTTCTGTCTTTCTAACTAGAACTTGACCAATAGACTAAATGGATCAATCTTCAAATATACATACAATGTATTTTCCAGGTCTGTAGTTTATTAGCAGGTATCATTTTGAATGCTATTCAATATTTGTTATTCTGTTTCATACATGCTACACATTCCTAGTGGTAAATTACTTCAAAAATGCTTTTTTTTTTTTTTTTTTTTTT